AAGGAAGGAAGGAAGAAGAAAGAAAGAAAAAAGAAAAGAAAGAAAGAAAGAAAGAAAGAGAAAGAAAGAGAGAAAGAAAGAAAGAGAGAGAAAAATAGATTGGGCTTTTTTATCTCTTTTGGATTTCTCAAAAAAAAAATCAAAAAGGAAAGTAGACTGGAGGTTGGTAAGAGTTCATAAAAACTGATGTTAACTGTAATGTATTTTACAGACTTTTATTTATTTATTATTAACCTGAAAATTAGTTCATAAATATCAGGCAGCCAGGCTTTGCTCCAGAGAGTAAGGGCCCGTCAGTAGCCACCTCTCTGAAGTGAGTGGTTTGGTACAGACACGAGAAAGTGAAATACATTCCCTTGCATTAATCATTTTCTCATCTGTTAAAGGGGAGAGGGAGAGGGTGCTGACTGAATATTAACGCTGCCTAAATTAAAAATACTTCCTTGCTGTCTCAGCCGTTTCAAAGCAAAATTGAGCAATTCATGCAAACAAGGTCACCCATCAGCAGTTGAAAGTGCTTTGGTTCAGTTCACTGTGCCTCTTACAAAAACAGCTGAGGTGAGACAAAAAGCGACCTTTCGACAACCTCTCAGGCATGCCTGCTACAATCTAAAGAGGCCAGAGTCCCAAAGGCGGCTGACCACAAGCCTCTGCTAAGCACACGTATCCCACCTGGTTAATCCACACTCCACTCTGCTCTGGCCTCGCCAGCCGCCTTGCTGTTCAAGAGCAGCGCCTCATTTGGTCTCTGTGCGCAGGAAAGTCAGCAAACACTGGAACTCATTGTTAAAGAAGGTTTGGAGACTCCTCTGTGTGTGTGTGTGTGCAAGTTTTGGAAGGAAACTTTGCAAGTCATGTTCTCTTGAAACTCCCCACCTGCCTCCCTTTTATTTTCTCACTCTCTTTGAAAGCAGACATTGTGCCATTTGTTTTTGTCCTGCTGTGATTCTAGTTATTTCCTGGTTCCCAGCTCCTCCAAGAGATGCAATGTGCAATACATGGGTGTTGCCTGTGGTGGTGAGAGTATGCATATTGAGGGTTTGGGGAATTCTGTGGCGATCAGGTCAAGTTTGGGGGCACAGTGAACAATGCATGTCTTTAGTCAAATTCCAGCAGTTTCCAAGGATAGAATCCTGCTTAAACTGTGTATGAGTTTGTGAATGTTGATGTTTACGAAAGAGAGGCTGGCAATTCCTGATCAACTTTGCCTGCAGAATCCCGTCAGTCCTGGGTGAGGAGCTGCCTGCCTGTGGCCAGCATTACTGGGAAGCCACAGTCACAGACTGCCCAGCTTATCGACTTGGCATCTGCTCCAGCTCGGCTGTGCAGGCCGGTGCCCTGGGACAAGGAGAGACCTCGTGGTACATGCACTGCTCTGAGCCGCAGAGGTAAGCCGGAGCCCTGCCCCTCGCCATTTAATCTGTGTATCCTGACCTGATGTCTAGGCAGAGGTCTCCAAGGGGCCTAGTAACTAGTATCTCCCAAGTTCTGAGTCAACTAAGAAAGATACGGAAGAGTCAAGCATATGGAGACTGAACTATTACTCTGATTACGGAGGAAGCCAAGTTTAGAGAATGTGGTTCGCATGTGAGCAAAAATTTTTCTTATATTGCACTTTAGCCTCTCATATTAATAGATTTGCACACACCCAGAGCCTTGGCAAGGCCAGCTTCCCCAGCCTTCGGGGCAGAGTAGGTTCCTGGAGGAGGAGGTGTGTCTCCTCAGGGAGCTCATAAGAAAGAGTTAGGGAAGTGCATGCATGGCCAGCTTTTCCTTCCACGCTTGCCCCAGGGTGGGGAGAGACCACAAGGTACTGCTAAAAGGGCTGCCTCCACAGAGAAGGAGTCAACAGGACTGAGGAAGAAGGGGATCCCCCCATACGTCCCGCCATTGGTCAATATTAGGGGCTGGCAAACTGCAGCCCGCAGGCCAAATATAACCCGCTGCCTTTTTTGTAAATAAAGTTTTATTGGAACACAGTCAAGCTTACTTGTTTACATATTGCCTTTGGCTGCTTTGGGGCTATAATGGCAGAGTTGACTAGTTATAACAGAGACTGAATGGCACCCCAGGCCTAAGATATTTACTATCTGGTCCTTTATAGATAAAGTTAACTAACCTCTAGTCTGTATTATTAGTATTATTTAATTGATTGATGTGAAAAAGCTGTTAACCTGTGTTAGTCTCAGAGAGATAAGGCAAGCATGTTATGAACTAAATATGTGCACAGGATGGTCTAATTAAAGAATGCTGGACTGGAGCCAGAAACCTGATTTTAGTCCTGGCTCCATCCTTGACTGGCCTCCTATTGGCTACTCACCTGTGTGCAGATCTGACGTGCCTCATCTGTCTTGTCAGGGACAGTGATGCCTGGTCTGCTACCTTTTGGGATTGTGAGGATCACATGAAGTCAGGACAAGGAAGGGCTTTGAAATTGTAAAGAATCAAGCAAAAGTGAGGCAATTATTTAAATGTAATGCTTTAAAAAGGAAGCAGTGCTTGCAAGTTCCGAGAAAAAAGCCCACAAATTGGGACTTTGCATATATCTGGCTGTACATTTCTCCCTACATCCTACTTGACAGAGTTTGATTCTCTGACATGGTTCATAAGGACACCATCTCCAAGAGCCACATTTTATCAAGTCAGAGGAATTAAGATTAATTGATATTCAGTCCTGTGCAATGCTTAAGGACCCAGCCCTCACCCAGAGTTGAAAATCATTCAAACCCAGAGTTTATTATAATCAGTAAATTTCGAGCTGGAACTAGGTATTGATTTTATGAAACTTCCCTCAGACACTTGGGCCCTTAAGAACCCAAACCAGAAACTAGCCTCCAATAACAAAGTTCTAGACTCTAGAAAACAAAAGTGTTAATTTTGTTCAATATGTTCAACAACTTTGGTCTTCGGCTCTTCCAGGCCCAGGGTAGGTGCTAGACATTCTGAAGGAGGAGTGTGCCTGCCTGTGTGGTCACAGCACAGAGAGGTCAGGTCTTAAGTGCCTCATATCATATTTCAAATAGAGCACCCTGGCCTGATTTAAACCAGGCAGTAATACTCTGGATTCTACTTGCATCGAATCTAAGCTTTAGGATGTCACAATTGGAAAGGAGAAATGAAGAGAGTCTAAGGAGAAGGGATCAACTGCATTTCTTCCTGTCCGCCCCTAACCTAGCTGCTTTAGTTCAGGCCTCTTCACTGCCTTCATCCGTTTCACCCACAGCCACCACGCCTGTGCTCTTCTCCTAGCCTCCACCCACTCCAAGCCGTCCTTGTCTCACAAGTGGCAGGTGTTTCTAAAACATCATTTGCATCATGTCTCTTCCTTTTCTGCTCAAAAGTCTACAAACATCCACAGTGGTGTCAACACTCAGGTGGGGCCCCAGTGAAGAGGGGAAGTGAGGAAGAATATGTGACCAGGCTGGGGGACGAGGAGCCCTGAGGGAAGTGGCCACCAGGGTGGAAAGGAGTCTGGGCTCATTCTGGGCCAGCAGTGAGATTCTTGGGGGTGGGTCCACTCAGGTGGGGGCCCCAGTGCAGGCAGTTCCAGGGCCATGCTGGTGTCCAGAATCAGGCTTTTGGATGACCCTTGTTTGAATAGGGACCAGCAGTCCCAAGGAAAGGCAAAAGCTGGGCAGAGAGTCGGGCCCCAGGCAGACAGGGAAAGGAACTGATGTGCTCAGTAGGAAAAGGGGGCAGAAACGGGGCAGGATGAATTCCAGGCCCTGTGGAGCTGGTGGGGCCAAGGCTTCAAGAGATATTTTTCCTTCCTTTACCTCTATAGTAGTGATTAGCTCAAGGACTGACCCAGGCTGGGCCTGTAGGCACTGGGAACCCTCCATGCAGGGTAGGAAAATGGCTCATCTGGGCATTCAAAACCCTCTAGACCAGTGCTGTGCAATTACACATTCTGGGAAAATAGAAAAATGGTGTCATCTGTGGCTATTGAGCACTTGAAATGCGATTAATAGGACAGATGAACTGAATTTTGAATTTTATTTAATTTTAATAAATTTTAGTTTAAGTGGTTACATATGGCTAGTGGCTACTGTGTTGGACAGGGCAGGTCTAGGGCCTGGCCCCTGAGTCACTTATCCTTGTAACATCCTCAGAGCCATTCACACATCCCCTCCTAACCCATCAAGCAGATGGTGATGTTCTCTATGACATACATGTTCATTCTGCCACCTCATCATTGCTTCTGCTACCCCCACGGCTTGGACCACCTTATTCCTTTTTTCCAGCTGTCCAGTCCTGACCATTCTTCTTTGGCTGAGTGTGAGCCCATCTGCTTCCCAGTACTTCTGTAAGAGCCCCAGCCCACACTGCTGCTCCCCATCATTGCCACCTGCAGCCTCTGTGTGCTTTAAGGTTCTAAAACTTCATAGTGTTCTGCCATATTTCACATCAGCAAGGCACTGAAAAGGTCCTGTATCACTGTGGAAGTCTGGTTACCTTCCACCCCCATGAACCTCAGCCCTTTCACATGCGCTTCATTCTGCAAGGAAGTTGTCAACTTGCCATTCCTTAAATATACCTTCACTCAAGCTTCTGGGCCTTTAAGACAGACATCACAGGTCTTCAAGGTCCTGGTCTTTTTCTGTCACACCAGAGTCACCCAGATTCTCCAGCCCTAGTCTGCCCAGTGTCACTCCCACCCTCAGACCTATCATGTCCCCAGACCTGTCCCTCATCTCATTTCTTCTCTTCCTATGCTTTCAGGGCCCCACCCTCTGTTTCTAAGATTACCAGGAGAAAACTCCCAACTTGTGTCACTTTTTTGCATAGAGCAATTTAGCTTCTTCTGTTCAGCAATTTCTCCTTCCCAGCCTGGCCATGACCCTTTCCTTTCACAACCAAACCAGTCCATTAAATCTGTTTAGTAAACACTTTACTAATCCATGCCCTGACCTGGAGTCTCAGCCCTAGCCCATATTTAAGTCATCAGCAATTTTTTCCTTTCTGCTCAGCGGAGTAGGGGTTCCCTGGGGGCAAGGACAGTATGCTAGGGTCCCTCATATCTCCCAGAGGGCCCAGCAAAGAGCTGAGCACACAGATATGCCCAATGAATACTTGTTGAATTGATTTTATTTGAACTGAAGAAAGAAATCAAAGGCAGCCCTCCTTGGCACAAGGCTGCAGAAGACATTGAGAAGATGAAAAGGAAAGTTGGTCTGGGGCAGGGGGAGTCTATAGAAAGGATGAAGTTGGGCAAAAATACTGAAATACTTCTTAAACTTCATAAAGGCCCTTATGTAAGTTACTTACAAATTCTTTAAACTGTAAAATTAATACATTTTATGGAAGGCAAGCCTGCGGTACTTTTTAAAGTACATGGCAGCCTCAAAGGAGTTTTATTCAAAAGAATGACACACCATGAATGCGGTAGTTAAAACATGTGGGCAGCTGGGAAAGAATTAAAACGTTGAGAAAAATCACAAGGGAGGCATATGTTGGTTATTCTGGGACTGCCTCCTGATGTAGAAGGAGCAAAATTATTAAAAATGCTCGTCTGTTGGCAAGAACTACGCATTTTAGTATCTAGAAGGGATCTGGGTAAAGTATTTGGGACAACGTTATTGCAACTCATTATTGTGAATTGAAGTGAGTAACTGAAAAGTTGGTTATCTCCAAGTAATTTCCTAAGTTTTCAATTCCCCACTCTCTTCCATTTCAGATACACGTTTTTCTACGGCGGCATTGTGAGTGATGTCCACGTGACTGAGCGTCCCGCCAGAGTGGGCATCCTGCTGGACTACACCAACCAGAGGCTCCTGTTTATAAATGCGGAGACTGGACAGTTTCTCTTCATCATTAGGCGCAGGTTTAATGAGAGCGTCCACCCTGCCTTTGCCCTGGAGAAACCCGGAAAATGTACTTTGCACCTAGGAATAGAGCCCCCGGATTCTGCAAGGCACAAGTGATCATTGGCTTTCAAAGGTTGCAAGAGCAATAATTCAGATTTGGGGGGCTCTGTTGTTCTTTTCCGTGGGTGCTAGACGCTATTCAAAACATCCTCTGCACAGTTGCACTAGTGACAGCTCCACGCACAGTGATCAGCACATGAACAAAACCAAGAAAACGTTGACTGTCTAGAACGGCGTGTGAGTAAAGAGGATGGGAAAAAACAACCTCCTGCCTTCAGTTTATGTGTGTTTGAGTTCTTCCCTAAGTCGAAAGGATCTATACCTGATTTGGGAACCAAACTAGAGAAATGGATTTCCACCTGTTTCTTTGGTAAAAGAAATCCTCTGATGGACAGGTCTGAGTGAAGGGAAGGCTGTGCTATTAATACATCTCCTCTGACAAGAAACACAGAATTTTTCCACCAGAAAAATGTCACCTCATTTCACTAAAGGATGCTGAATCCTAATCAGCAGAGGAAGTGTTTTAAGCATTCTAAGTTGATAATGAACTCTTTTGTAATCATATATACTGTAGAACTCGAGTCTCTTTTCCCTGAAATATTAAATGTAGAAAAGTGCTAGGTATTAGAAATGTCCATTTTGTTAAATAAACGGTTAGAGTCTCTAAAACGAAACATGTTATGTGAACTTATTACACGTGTCTTATGTGTGCGGCATTTCTGGACGGGACAAACTGCAGATAAATGGCTGTCATGCTGCATGGGTTGTGCTGCTGCTCATTTTCTTGTGAGAATTTTACACATACATGTTTTAGAATCTGAACGTTTTCAGCCTATAGTTACAGACAACTACCAGAAGCTGAGAATCTCTTTTTGCTAAAAATAAAATGGTTGGTCATTTTTAGATATTATACTGAAATGTCTCAAAATCTTCCTAAAATATGTGTGCAAAGTTGATAAATCTAGAAAGCATGTGGGGAGGATTGCTCTCGTTCTCTATAATATAAATCTTTTGGTTGTATTTATAGGGTTTTTTTTTAACGTTACGAATTCAGTTGTTTTCTTGTATCGAGAAATAATGTCCTACTTTTGGGATGGATCCTAAAAAGTCCATTGTTTAACAGCTAGAAAACCCAGGATCTGTAACTGTGTTAACGGAGCCGCTTCAAAGTCATCACCATCCTGCTTTGAAATTAGAGCAGCTGCTGGCAAGAAGGATACTTAGTGAAAGAGGGGGAATAACTTGCTGCTTCGTGGGAAACATTAGCTTTATTTTTTGTAAAAGCCTTAAAAGTGTTATCAGATTCTGACTGATCAGCAACCCAGGCTGATCATTATTACTTTCTTGGGTGGGAACGTAGTATAGTTAAAAACAACAACAGTAGCAGCAAGCACAGGAATTTCAGAATTTGTCTCAGTTTGGGTTCCTCCAGGACTAGACCTCGACATAAAGGTTTAGTGCTGGTTGTTGATACCAGGGGTGATTCCAGGAAGCACACATGAGAAAGTGGGGAAGGTGAGACTGTCAGGGGCAAGAGCTGATAAGGGGCATGTTTTATGGGTGGGTTATTACACTGTGAACCCCCGGGGCTCGCTCGTGCTGGGAGCACCCCTGGAAACCATGCAGAACACGCCAGATGCTGACAGTTAAGTGCTCCTGTCCAAACCTAGTTTGTTGGGCATCGCACAGGGGGACCCCAGGGGACATTAAATGCCCTTCTGCCACCTTTCCAGGTTGTGTTCCTTGCAAGCTCCTGTGGTCACAAGAAAACCTTCAAAGAACACAAGAAACCGAGGTGCCTGACCCAGAGTTGACAGTGGGCTGACAACCGTCTAATGCAGCTGCTGGTCTCAGGTGAGCTGGGGGCAAATGGCAGAGGGTGGCAGCAGTGTCTACCACCAAGTTGGAAGCAGCTCTGGAATTGAGGAGAAAGCCACAGTAACGGAAAGAACTAGGTTCAAGTCCTGCCAGCCCATCTAGGTCATCACTCTGGGCAACTCAGATGCTTTAGTGCCGCCTTTTTCTCAGCATAATTGTAAGCATCAGATTAAATTATAAGCACATGAAATGGCACAGCATTTGATAGCTTATAAGACATCCTGACAAGGGACTCCAGAGGCCCTCTGTGACAGTGCTCCACCGCATCCCTGGTAAGTGGCCCTCCTGTCTTGTCACGACTCTGTAGCGAGTGGATGGAGGAAGGTAGGGCTGTCTGGTCAGGAGACCCACATTTTAGCTGCCATTGTCTACTGACTGATCGGAGAGTTCCTGGTTGGTTCCTGGGGGGTGATTCCAGTGCAGACAAGCAGAGCGAAGTAAATGCTCTTTCCCCACATCGTCGGAGTTCTTTCCTCCTTGGCCCTTCTTCTCTGAGTCCCATTTTCCCTTCTTGTCCTTCCTCTTCACACAACACAGATCCTCAGAGACAGCAAAGAAAGTCAGCAAATTTTTTGGTCAAAATTACTCCTCTGGAAATCTGTCGACAGTGTTTATTAGATTAATAACATATATAGCCCATATGTTGTCTCTTTTAATCCCCATCAGAACCTTGCGTGATAAAAACTGCCATTTTATAGATGAGGAAACCAGTCTCAGAGCAATTAAACAACTTGTTCGTAGTCACAGCCGGCAGGTGGCAGAGCATGGATTTAGATACAGCTCAGATTCTGAGCTAAGAGAATAAAAGAATTACATTTTGTTTCATTTGTTTATTGCAGGCTTTTTTTTCCTACATACATGTGGTGTGTGGAAATTACGTATGTGTATACACTCCCACACACCACACATCCACGTAGGAATATACACATTGGCACACATGCATTCACTCTCACCTAGACGTTCTCTCCCCTCCCGAACTGACTTCCTCCCCAGCCTCTGTTTTGTGGTCGGAGCCATCATCCTCCTGGCAGACATGGGGTCCTTTGATTCTTTCTTTGATACCAATGACCTTATTTAGGATTCAGAAGCATCTATAATATTCCATTTGTGGAGAAAAGACATGAAACCACCTACATGAAACTACAATGTTGCTTCTAAGAGGTGTGGGGCTAAAGTGAAGGAGTGTGTGGGAAAACATTTTTTAACAATGAGGATTAGCACTGTAGTCTTTGTTTGTCTGCATGCATACCTAGCAACTCTGGATGGATATATTCTTTGTCAAAGTTAGCAATATCTTTCCAATGGAGCAAACCAAAACATGTTCCCATTGTTTTTCTGGAAGTGCTTACCTAACACTGGACTAAGTATTGTACTTCACTGCACCCACTATGTGCTTTAAGCACCAAACGCCAACACTCTCCCATCAGAAGCATCCTTCAGCCCTCAGAATGGCTTGTGTCTTAAGCCCCTTCTCACCCTTGCTGCATGAATTACCCATTAGTCATCTCAACTGTTCAGTTGCTGAAGGAACTCAAAGGACTCAAACAGTTTCTACTCCCATAAGAGGTTTACCACAGGCAAAGATACGGTACAGTCACACAAAGGAAGGATGGGCATTGAAAAGATCCTACTGTGTCAAGTGCAGGCTTCCTGGTCTTCCCACTGTTGGGCTGCACAACATGCACATGTCTCCAGGCCTCAGTGTGTGTGTGAAGCACCTTGGTACCAGGAAGCCCAAGGTTTATTTCAGGGAGCGTGGTGGTGGGAGGCTCCCATACTGAGCTTGTCACATAGGTACTTTCTAGCTATGCAACTAGCCCTAAGGATTGAAACTCACCTCCCTGCCCCTTACAGGCTCCACCAAACAAGTGCCTAAGGTAAATCCAATGATTATCACTAAATGATGCTGATGGACATACATCCTGCTCCAGCACAACTGATTGATCCATGGTTACAGAATGTCACTTATTTTTAGGTAATGGGTTCCATGGCTTAAGGCAAGGATTGATAGCTGTGTGGATACACATGTGGTCAATTAAGACTAGTGGGACTGAACCCATGCTAGGCACTTACTGTCCTGAATCGCAGAGCCCAGCTGCTGAGGGATGTTTCAAAAGTAATAATAATAAGAGCTGAGTATCTCTACCGCCGATAGCGATCCCCCTGTGTCCCTATGTCCCTGATTGGGTGGAGAATGATCCAAGGCACATCCCTGAGCTGAATGAAGTTAGACCTGATTCCAGCCCACTTCACAGTGCTCGGGAGGAGCACATCATTTGTACTGTTTTCAGAGCAGAAGATCAGCGTCTCTCATTTTCCTTTACTGCCCTCAGAGTGTGTGTGATTGTGCCCCTTTTTTATGTGTCCCTGTTTTGGTCTTAACTGAACTCTCTGTCTGTGCTGAGTCTGTTTTTTTCTGATTGATATCAGTAATTTTAGACGTCCAAATAGTATATGAACTGTAAGAACAGCTTGAGAATAGCTGGAGGGTTGAGAATGTTTAACTTGGAACAAAGACAAGTTACAGAAGGATATAAGAGGTCTTCAAAGATTTGAAAGGCTTTTCTATGGGAAGAATTGGGCTTATTTTGATTTTTACACCAGGACTGGTGAGTGTAAGTCCGGGGGTTGAGGATTTGGGTTCAAGAGAAAGGAGAACACTCCACAGTGACAGTTGACTGAGAGACATGCTGCTTAGCAGGTAATAAGCTTTCACAGTCAAGCTGAAGGGTCAACCATCTGGAATATTAAAGAGCATTTTCTTGCTTTGAGTCCAGACCACTGGTTTCTAAACTGTGCTCCTCGGGTACTGGGGTTTCATAGAGGAGCCTGAGGGCCAACATGAGATCCAATGGGAAAGCCAGTGGGCATAAATTCAAACCCCTATCCCTTCCCTCACATCAGCTCAGTTTTGATTGTTTGATACATTGGGTTCCATATAATAATTTATTTGATGAAAAGTTTTCTATGGTTAAATAAAGTTTTAAAAGTAGATAACCACTGAGGTTCAAGTCTGAATTCTGTGATGCAGAATTCACTTCAGGGACCCCCAAAGTCCCTAAGTCTTCCATTCTTTCTGAGTCTCCTTTCCTTTACTATCCAAATACTGATGTACTACTGATGGCAAGAAATTTTGATTCCTATGCCAAATTTCTAAGAATTTCTCTAAATGATTACATGCTCTTGGTTGACATCTCTGCCCTCCTGCTTCCAAATTCTCCTCCACCTCTAGCCACCTCACCACTGCTTCTTCATGCTTCCCCAGCCCCATTTGACCTTAACTGTCTGAAAACATTGACAGAGTCTTCATTGATTCCTTAAGGCAGTGCTAACACAAGGCTGACACTGGTAGCAGTTAACACAGATTTTTGTTGAAGACTTGGGGTTAATGAGGGAAATTTCTTCATAGATCATGAGGCAAAAATAAAACTGAATGTGAAGCATCCCATTTGCCAGGAGCCCCTTCTGATTTCTTCTTCAGCCCTGTCGTCCAGACATGCTGAACAGACTAACCCTGCCATTCTACTTTACTCTTTAGAAAAAGATAGAAGTTTCTAACTTCTGCTCAGTCTTTGTTTGTCCAGTCAGCCAGCAGAACTAGAAAACATCAAAATACAAACACCTCTCTTACCAATATAGAAATCTTTTATAATAGAATGAGAGCAAAATTATGCCCTCCTATCTCAGCCTCTTCTGCCCTGCCCAGACTTTAGGCCTTTCTTTGTAGACCTAAAAGGCCTGTTAAAAGCAATTCCCTAAACCGAAGAACATTTCTCTTCCAAAGATGACTGGCCGTTACCCCTTAGAATGGTTTTAGAATCCCCTTAACATCTTCCCTTTTGCGCACTTCTGTACAACTAACTAATGAAGGAAAATTGTTTCTCAACTAGACCCAAGCTCCCAGGCTTCATGTTGAGCTGCCCTGCCTCAGCAGGGGACTCTCCTGCATGCGAGGCACTTCAGGGAGAATGACACCCTTCTAGAGTCAACATGTTATTTGAGGATTTTGTAACTTCAGAGACAGTGGGTGAAATGATTAGGAAAATGGGGAAGGAAACACACAATTCATTCATTCAACACTCATTTAGTGAGGTCTTACTCTGGACCGAGCACTATTCTAGGCCCTGGGGAAATGGCAGTCCTCAAATCAGACAAAAGCCCTGCTTACAAGGAGCGGATATTCTAGTGGAGGAAGATAGGCAATAAACACATACATAGTATGCCAGTGGGGAATAAGAACCAGGAAAAAGTTAATAAATCTAGATAAGAGAATGAAGAGGAGCAAGAGGTAGGAACTAGGGGAAAGTGTCTCTGGTAAGATGATATCTGAATAAAGACCTAAATGAAATGAGGGAACAGGACATGTGGATGTCTGCGGAGGAACAGTGTTCCCTCCAGAAGCAGCAGCAGCAAGTGTAGAGGTCCTGAGGCAGCAGCACGGGGGTGTGGAGGACGACAGTGGGGAGGCCGAGGGCTGGAGTAGAACAAGCAGGAAGGAGAGAATGTCATGGATGCAGACAGATAGTAACTGGGGGCCAGTTCATAATGGTGCTAAAGGCCAAGTAAGGATTTTAGGCTATATTCTGGGTGAGTTAACAAGAAGTAACAGTCATGAGAATTAATGCAATTGCAGTCTCAAAGAATTGCCCTTTCACATGTTTGGGTATTACGTTTTTCAGTATTAAATACGATGTTTTATAAAAGCCGCCTGGGCTGACCTTTGCCAGCTCTCGGCTCCCGCGAAGAAGGGGCCTGGTGTAGGTGGGAAAGAAGAAAAGATGTTTTCTCCCTCCCAGCTCCATCCCAGAGCCCTGGGGCTCTGCTCGCTTCCTGCTTCCAGGAGAGCCGGCCTGTGACTGGTTGCCTTTAGGACCAGCCTTGGACAGAACCTCAAGGGGGATCTGCTGCTGTACCTGGGTGGACTTTTGTGTTGAACTGATCTTACCCTCGCTGGAAAGTTGGCAACCACTGAAGAC